GGCGTAATCACCCATTCTTTCGTAACATGCTGCGAAATTCAAGTGACTACCAGCCAAATGAGGGTGATTCGGAGGCAGAGCTTTTTCTCTTATTTTATGTGATTTTTCATAAAATTCAAGTGCTTTCAAATAGTCACCCATGCTGTTATACACGAGACCGATGTTGTTGTGGGAAGTAGCCAAATTGGGATGATTTGGAGGCAGAGCTTTTTCGTGGATTTTATGTGCTTTTTCGTAAAATTCAAGTGCTTTCGAGTAGTCACCCATGTCGAAATACACTATACCCATGTTATTGTAGGAAATAGCCAAATCGGGATGATTCGGAGGCAGAGCTTTTTCTCTTATTTTATGTGATTTTTCGTAAAATCCAAGTGCTTTCAAAAAGTCACCCATGGTGTGATACACTTCACCGATGTTGTTGTAGGAAGTAGCCAAATCGGGATGATTCGAAGGCAGAGCTTTTTCTCTTATTTGATGTGCTTTTTCATAAAATTCAAGTGCTTTCGAGTAGTCACCCATGTTGTTATACACTTGACCGATGTTGTTGTAGGAAGTAGCCAATGAGGGATGATTCGGAGGCAGAGCTTCTTCTCTTATTTTATGTGATTTTTCGTAAAATTCAAGTGCTTTCGAGTAGTCACCCATGACGTTATAGACTCCACCGATGTTGTTGTAGGAAGTAGTCAATGAGGGATGATTCGGAGGCAGAGCTTTTTCGAAGATTTTATGTGTTTTTTCGTAAATTTCAAGTGCTTTCGAGTAGTCACCCATGTTGTTATATACTTGACCAATGTTGCTGTAGGAAATAGCCAAATTGGGATGATTCGGAGGCAGAGCTTTTTCGTAGATTTTATGCGATTTTTCGTGAAATTCAAGTGCTTTCAAATAGTCACCCATGACGTTATAGACTCCACCGATGTTGTTGTAGGAAATAGCCAAATCGAGATGATTCGGAGGCAGAGCTTTTTCTCTTATTTTATGTGATTTTTCGTAAAATTCAAGTGCTTTCGAGTAATCACCCATATTGTTATACACTCCACCGATGTTGTTGTAGGAAATACCCAAATCGGGATGATTCGGAGGCAGAGCTTTTTCGTAGATTTTATGCGATTTTTCGTGAAATTCAAGTGCTTTCAAATAGTCACCCATGTTGTTATACACTTGACCGATGTTGTTGTAGGAAGTAGCCAATGAGGGATGATTCGGAGGCAGAGCTTCTTCTCTTATTTTATGTGATTTTTCGTAAAATTCAAGTGCTTTCGAGTAGTCACCCATGTTGTCATACGCTTGACCGATGTTGTTGTAGGAAGTAGCCAAATGGGGATGATTCGGAGGTAGAGCTTTTTTCGTGATTTCGCGATCCTTTTCGTGAAATTCAAGTGCTTTCAAATAGTCACCCATGACGTTATAGACTCCACCGATGTTGTTGTAGGAAATAGCCAAATCGGGATGATTCGGAGGCAGAGCTTTTTCTCTTATTTTATGTGATTTTTCGTAAAATTCAAGTGCTTTTGAGTAGTCACCCATGTTGTTATACACTTGACCGATATTGTTGTAGGAAATAGCCAAATCGGGATGATTCGGAGGCAGAGCTTTTTTCTTGATTTCGAGATCTTTTTCGTAAAATTCAAGTGCTTTCAAATAGTCACCCATGTCGTTATACACTAGACCGATGTTGTTGTAGGAAGTAGGCAAATCGGGATGATTCGAAGGCAGAGCTTTTTCTCTTATTTTACGTACTTTTTCGTAAAATTCAAGTGCTTCCGAGTAGTCACCCATGTTAGCATACACCAAAGCGATGTTGTTGTACGTAGAAGCCAACGAAGGATGAGCTTCTGGAAGAGTTTTTCGTTTAATTTTGAGAGACATTTCATAAAATGAAGCTGCTTCTTTGTATTGCCCTTTGCCTTTTTTCACCCATCCAAGCTGGTGATAGATATGTGCTCTAGCACTGTCGTCGGATGCCTGTTCTAGTAGTGCCATGTACAATTCTTCGGCCTTGTCAAATTGACTTATTTGGAGCAGTAATTTACCCATTCGATACCATCCAGTGCTACCCGAAGATTCTTCTCGTATGCAGATAGTTAATTGACGAAGTTGCTGGTCATCATCAGACGTAAGTTTGAGGTCCACTTGATAAAGTGGACTTTCCTTGTCAAGTTGTCGAATTTCACCAATTCGAAAAACTGTATGCATGGAGAAGAGAATTTCCTTTTCGTCCTTGAAATAGCTCACCTCCCGGATGGAGGCAAAGGGAGACGATGACACCATGGGATCTATTGTCATTTGAAAGAGAATACCGACCATATCGGTTGCTCCTGAGTTGCTTTCGGCAAAAGCGAAAGAGACATCACGATCTGTACTGGTGGATAAAAAATTATTAAATGATATGAGACCATCTTTGTTTTTTGCGAGTTTCTCGAAATCGTCTGTCAATAGTCCTTGGCCCCTATAAACTAAAAAGGACTCTCCGTGATATTGACTGACCTGTTTGCTGTGTAAATCTTCCATTTGTCGATGAACATCACATAGATAAAATCCCATTCTAATGATTAGGTCACCGTCGAGTGTTCGTAATGCACGATTGAGCATTTTGAAGACGAAACATTGGCGTGTATACCACCATAAGGCCAATGTTGGATGATAAGTACGTTGAAATTCATCGATTAACTTCAGTTCGTTAGTATTGCCTTGGTATTGTTCTTGGCAGAAGGCGACCAAATCTTTGATAGCTTGTTGATCATGTTTCATATCAAGGAGTATTTCCTTAAATATCTGGGTATACATGAATGATGGTTCTAGCTGATTAAGATTTTGCCTAGAACCATCTGCACTAGCACTAATTATACTGACCATTATATTGTTTTGATTATATTGTTTGATAGCTATTTGCAACATTTTGCATATAGACTCAATTGATTCGTTGATACCTTTAATTTTTGTCCAATATTTAGCCCATTCTTCATGAAGTTCCTTATTTTGAGAAAAAATATATATAGTATCAAGATTTTGCATTCCATGAATAGTTGGTACAAGAACTTGTCCAAGTTTACCAGAGGAGATAATGAAAGATGTCTCCTCCTTGTTTTCATTGAGTAATGTGATGCATTCTTCTGCTGTAATGCACAATTTGACTTCATTAACAATACCTCGTAATTGCGACAGTGTATATTGACAATCTTCATTTTTCATATTGATATTCGCATCAACCCATATGACTAAATAGTTTTCAGTCCTACGTTGTCGTCGTTGTCGACTCATTTTCAATGTATTAGTGAATAATGTGTATGAACAGAATTTACCTTTCGTATTTATATATTCGATGTATGTTGTTTTTTTTTCTAGATTTTTCTACGATGTCAAATGTTAATATTTTATTTTTTCGTCGATACTCAGTAACAACCTATGCCTAGTATCAATCAAAGGTATGCTTGTCAAAAAAAATAAATTAAAGGGAAAAAGCCCACCAACGTCATTTATGATATGATTATTTTTTACCATTTGCAATTACGTTTCATGTGAAGCGTGACATAAGTTTCATTTTATTGATATCTTTTCTCATACGTTGTATATATTTTTTTCGATTCTTTCAAAACCAAACTTTTTTCTCTTGCTGAGAAGAACGAAGAAAACCAAGAACATCGTCTGTGTGTTTTTTTTCTCATTATGCATACGATTGACATGCTGATAATGTGAATCAAACAAGAATAAACATCATTTTAGTTTTTATATAGAGAAAGGTTAAACAATGATATCTAGTTGCCGAATATACTAAATCACTGACCATCTAATTAAAGTAATTTTTTTATTCATATTCATTCGAAAGAATATATGTAATAAAATGATATTTCGTTTTTGTATTTTTCAATAACTGTCCCTCTTTCATTAATTTCTAAGATTCATAAAGAAATAATATTCAACTTGTGTTTATTCACGCAATTTTAACATATGCTACAATGGTAACAGGAAAACTTCTTCTATCCAAACATGTATCACTAGAATTATGTGTATTATAAATGTATATCAATTGAAACCATAGTACAAAACATGTTTTAATTGAAAACTGTATCTGCTTGTATGATTGTAAAACAGAGTCATACATGCTCGTATACAATCAAGAAATAATAAAAAGAATTACTGGTATTTTTCTAACTAAAATCAGTAGGAATATGGCAGGCATGAAGACTGTTTTTCTTGATTTAAAAATGAGAAAAAAAATCATTGTTATTGTACTGTATGTTTGATATCTTTTTTTGAAATGCAAAACTGTCTTCCTCAAATAAAAGCGTTGGCTGGAAGGTTGAGTTAATGATTCTTTTAAGTTTCTTCTGAAGATGCAACCGATTCAGAAAAGATCAATCAACAAAGAAAAAGTCACAAAATTATTTTTATTATTGTTGTCGTTGTTTTTTTCTTTCATTCGTGTCTGTACGATGAATAAAAATGTGCCGATAAAATATATAAACAAAGGACTATTGAAGAAACGTAATACTACATTTTTTTACTCTCCTTTTAGTCTCAATTACATTATATTCATTTCATTTTTCTACATGGTCATTGATTCATATGCAATTAACGTCACGAAAATCTCTCTGTAGGTTATATATGCTTAGCATAATATTAAAAAGACTATAAAATCGAACAAATATTCAAGAACTGGTTCTCTAGAGCTGACATTTATTATGTTATGAAAGAATATTTAAAAACTTTTCCTAATGTAAATAAAGTTTTTTCCGCAAGCTTTCTTAGTTTTGAAATTGTTTAACTTGAAAAATTAAAGAAAATCTTAATATAGGATAGTTTGCTAAAAAATGGAACAAAGTGATTTCATAAACTTAGACTTACAAAAGAAAAGTTATTTATCTGTAGCATCTACACTTTGCTTTGAGACTAGACTGATGA